TCGACGGAGCTTCTGAAGCTCGGCGTGAACGAGAGGCAGCAATCCAACTCCGATATCCGGGACACTGCACGTTCCTCTTGCAGCACATATGGTCGGAGTAGCGATTCGAACGACTCCGCGAGGGCGTCACTACGGAAAAAGCGTGTTGTTGTTGTTTGGAAACTGCTCGTCGAACCCCGCAGCCGAAAGGGAAAGGAATGGATAGGATTCAATAAGTAGCGTTATCCCATCGACAGGAAATAGTGAGAGGGAGAGAAAACAACGACACGCATTCCAAAACTCTCGGTCAAGACACGCCTACGATAAATAAGACTGACATATAAGCAACGAAGACCACCAAAGCAGCTAGAGACGAGACCGGGCGGTCGTTTAAAGCTTTCATAACTTTACGCGTAGGTACCTTTGAAGATAGTACCTTTCACGCGAAGGTATCTTTGGCAGGCTTAGACTCAACTCGTGCTGACTTCAAGGGCACTAAGATACTTTAAGCCTGCCAAAAGTACCATCGCGTGCATGCTGCACGTGTTTGAGGCTTGTCGGTGTCGGTTGTTTGCATTTGTCGCTCTTGTGAGACTCGGGCATAAGTATGCATAATGGAGTAACATAAAAATAAAAATTTACACGACCTTGCCTTATCAGCGCCGACGCCGAATACAGAACAAAAAATACATCTCGGAATAGCGGACTCGTTTGAGTTGGCAGTTCATGCCTCGTGTCAAGCGGTTGACTCACAGCAGAATACCCATGAAAGCTTCTGTTGATGAAATCGCTAGAAAACATGACAGAGTCTGGAATAGAGTCAGATGGGAATCGCGTTGTCATAGGGAGTAATCTATATGATCCAAACGCCGGTTGTGCGTCAGATCGTGCTGGGACGCAGGTGCTGCCCGCCTTACTTTTTTTTCTTTTTTTTTTTTTTTCAATGCGTGTGCGTCGATAGTGAAGAACTTATGACGCACAACCTGTGGACAGCCTACTGCTTTTATTCGTGGCCACGTCACTCACGCCTGTGAACCAACACCACCTAGAAGGTATGAGGTCATTGTTTCCAGCTCAAACGGCAAACACGATCAAGCTCGGCGAGAGTCGGCGCAAAGGAGCCGACGTCTTGGCGTCGCCGCCTGCTGGCGTCGCGCTTCTTGTCAGACGCTGCAAGACGCGCTGGCCGCGACGCAAGCCAGGTGGCGCTGCGTGGATTTGATGACGCAGCTTTTGTCTTCTAGGTGAAGCGAAAGCACTCTTGGAACGCTGCCATTTCAAATGTCTTCAACTACTAATCCCAACTATAAGATATGGCCATGCGTCCTCCAACTTGCACGCAGCAGCGCCTGGTTTGCCTGACTCGGCGTCACCGCGAGCGCGTCTCGCAGCCTCCAGCAGTGAGCGCGATGTTAAGGAGCAACGCATCTGCCGCTCTGCGGCTTACTCTCGTCCAGCTCCAGCGTCTCTTGGGGTCACTAACGACCACGTGATGCCTTGTCTTCTAGGTGGTGCTGCTTCAGCTCGACTGTGCGAGTGGAATGCGCATAGTGAGAATAGCAAGCTGACGGGCCGTTCTTCCCAACAGCACTGGGAAGAATGGTACTTCAAATGCCCGTATGGCGGAGCCACTTCGACTCGCAAAAGGACGCGCTCTCGGACACCGTGTGTCTATGCAATGCATGAACACTGCCCTCGTGTAGTCAATCGCGTTCTAAGCCGGACAGTGATAAGCTCAACTTTTCTTTCGCGACGCAAAAGAGTTATTTCCCGCGGGGCCTGGTTCTCAGAACAGTGATACTCACCAATTTATTACACGGACGCGAACAGTGGTAGAAAATGAGTCGAGTTTAAGGCTGTTTGGAAATTAGAAAAAAAGAAAAAACACTCAGCATTCATGAACGTAACAGATGTGTAAGGGTCATCGCAACATGTCAGCCGTTTAAAGATTTCCTTCCGACCCTCGTTTGTTGCTCTTCCATAAACACCGTATGTTCTCATTTTGTTCACTGTTACGCGTATCGATCTTTGAAGTGGAAGCCGTCGTTATCAAAGCTCTTGGAAGCCGTTTATTGAGGTCTCGCCGACGGCTGCTTTGTTATTAGCGTGTCTAAGTGGACACTACGCGAAAAAACAAAAACCAAGGGGAAAACAACCCAAGCCGGTACCCGCCTACACATGACATGCACACTAACATAAAGAAGTCGATTTCATCGCCCGTAGTATAACTTAAATATTTTACGAAAAACGTTGTGTTTTTCAACCGTAACAATCACAGCATGTAATGATGCAAGTAAAAGGATAAAATGGTATGCGTATAACTAGAAAATAAAAAGGTCCCAGATAAAATAAAAAGTGAAATTTAAAAAAAAAAATTGTACGGTATTTTTTTTTTTTTTTTTGTGAGGTAGGGAATAATTGAAGTTTGTAAAATTTTCAACATAGAGTCATAAAAATCAGCAGGCCTCATCTAGAGCCACTAAATAAGCTACGCTTCAGAGTAACGACACTTAACCTTTTTGGGGTTTAAAATCGTGGTTGCCAGTTATCTGAAGCTTTATCTGAAATCACAGGAAACGCTTTTCTGTCCTCCGCAAATGTATAAACTGTTCGCGAACGAGCAAAGCAATATTACATGGGCTTCCTACCACCGACTCTAATGCTGAGGAACTCGCACTTTTGAATCATGACGATCGGCAGTTCCGTCTGCTACGCACTAAGCACCAAGATGGCGGCGCTTATAACAAAACCGGGGAACAGAGTGTCGATACTCTAAGCGCAGCTCATTTATAGTGGTTCTAGCCTCATCTATTTGTGTCTCCCTTTTTTATCAATATATTTCGAACCTGTAATCGGGCGTCACAATAGAGGAGCTCAAGAGCACCCGACGAATACGACGGTTTGCAGCGCGGTTCGATAGGCAGCAAGCGAGAGTCTAAGCAAAACAAAATATGCTTATCGCGGAGGGAAAAGTTGCGAATCGGAACGAACACGTTTGAAGGCTAAGCTTTAAGGGGCCAATGAATTTTGGGCTGGGATAAATAATTTTAGATTGGAATCTTACTATTCGCATATAATTTAATGGGTAAAAAAAAAGGGGGGGGAGGGGAGTGTAGAAAGTCAAAAGCCTGGTTTTCGGTACGAAAATTTAAAAACATAGCGGACTATTTCGTACCTCCTTTCCTTCGAAATCTTTCCGACTTTTGACTGTGATGCATCCGCGGTGCCCGAGCACGTGAGCCGAACCCATATCACGCATGGGACACGAGCACTGCGTCACTCGAACGCATGCGCTCGTCAATCAATCCGTCCACGAATCTTTGGATTCGCGTTCCCGGCCCAATAAGTGCCCTGACGGCACTTATCACCGCTTCCGAATGACAAGTTCCGTGGTGTGCTTTAGCACGGCGGATGCTTGGAGTCATCGCCTCTGCCGCCCAAGCACGTCACGACCGTGTGATTTCTCGTTTCGCTTTTGAGCTAAGGGGGAAAGGTAAGGAGGAAGAAGTTGAAAAATCATTTCATAGTCCCTTTAATGAACTCTCGCGTAACGTAATCAGAGTTCCTTCTTGCGACCACGGTGTGTGACTAACGTTTAGACCTTTGAAACGCCGCTTGCCATTTATTGCGTAATATTTCTTTTACAAACATTGTGTGTCAAACAAGATTTCACTAAATATTTCTTCACAAACTTTGCTTGCCGGACATAGAGTATAGAATTCCGCTAAAATCGTGCAATATATTTCTGATGAAAAGCGAGGGTTTGGATGATGTACATAACATTTGAAAGGGTTAGAGCAGTTTCGTCAACCTACGAGCTAGCGAACGCGTTTTTGTCAATTGTGCTGACATTTTTTCTCTGCGTCTAAACGTGTATGAAAACAGCAACGCCAACAAAGACGGTATAGCAAGTTGTCCGGAGTCGCCGTCTTCAGAAAGACGCTCGTCGAATTTTTCCAGGCGTCTCTGTGAAAGTTTACAGGAACGGTCTCGGACACGTTGACAGTGACGGGCGCCTGCCAATTTCAAGATCGATTGACTTCAGTTCTCGTTGTTGGTGGTAATAATAACTCGTCATCGTCAACGGCATTTTCGTTTTAAGAGCAGAAGGTTCTATACGACAGGTTTCGCAATGAGTGGAATTTGCTCAGTTTTTAGCCAAAAATTATATTTTTTTTCTAAACTATTCTGTCCCATTTCTTATGTGTTTCTTCTGTAGTTGGTAAAAACAAAACACAAGATATTGATCGTAACTATAATTTATAGGCTTGAACACTTGCGACAACCATTGGGATAGTTTACACTGAACACAAACTGTTAGTAATTGGAGCTTCAGCAATGTAACCAACTAGCATTATTATAGATAAAGGTGTCTTTATTGAACGTGTCTCGGCACGACTCTCTCTGCTGAACCAAATAACAGACGATATAGTTTTCAAGAAAACGCTTTAAGATGTAACCCGAGTATTGAGAACCCTGAGACGGCCGGAGAATTCGTCGGAATCCTAACTTCACCTGCCATTTCAAATACTATGGTGTGCCGTGAATCAGAAACCGTGCCTTCAAGAAAATAGAGGAATTTTTTGCATAATTCTAGTAGCCCTTCTACAACCGTATAAAATATAATCTCGAATAAAAAATTTGGGTACAAAGAAAGCTTTGGTGCTCGAGCGAATGACTTCGAGCATCAAAGTTTGCTCAAACCCAGTCATTAACCGTGCTACAGGACCTTCGCGACGCGCAGAAAAAGATGGTGCCAGGTTTCAAATATAACCGTTCGAGGTTACCATGCAACGCTAAACACACGTAGCCGACGCTTCGGCGCGCTCGTCTTTTTCACGACGTGCTGCGAGATGACAAGCCTTTCGACCGATGTTCCAAGTCCGAGCTAAGCGAGCAGCTGATTTCGAAGCGCCAGGAAAGCCCTTTCCCGCCCTCCTTCCCCTCCCCTCACTGGCCGACCGCTCGCGCATTACCCTGGGCCCGTCTGCCGCGTAGTCGAAGCTAAGCGAGCTGCTTACCGACAGAACTGTCGTAGGAGCAGATGTATTCGGACGTCATGAACTGGCTGGTGAGCGACGTCTTGCCGACCTGGCTGGCTCCAAGCACGAGGACCCGGTGGCGCGCCAGTGGCGAATCTGCCGTCCTGGTGACCACGAGCTCGGGCGGCAGCGAGGCCAGGGCCGTCGGGTCGTGGGAGTCGACCCGGAGCGCCGCCCGGTCGGTCCGGGCCACGCCAGCGTCGGCGAGCCACGGTGGCGACTGGCAGAGCTGCTGCAGCGAGCTGACCACGCGGCCGTCGCCGTCGAGGGAAGCGCACATGTAGAACTTGTCCGAGACGACGTCGCTGGATGCGTCGCCCGTCTCTGACGGCGACGCCGACACGGACGAGCTGGGCACCGCAAGTTTGTGGCCGCTGCCCGTAGAAGACACGCTGTGCGTGCTCCGAGACTTGGAACGGAACGAGTCCCCCCGGTTCACGATGCCCTTGGAGGTGACTGCGAAGTTCCGGAGCCGGAGCACGTCGCCGGCCTCGTCGGTGGGCAGCGAGTTGTTGGACGAGCCGCGCGAGTCGTTAGAGCCTCCGTCGAGGGCGTCCCGGTGCACCGCGAGCATGTCGCCCGGGATGCTGGCGATCCTCTGGCGGAAGTGGTAGTGCAGCGACTGGGGCCGCCTGGACGTCCGCATGGACTGGGACCGGCTCACGCAGCTCGAGGTGTCCTTCTGGGGCGACGCGGTCGCCGAGGCACAGCCGTTGCTGTGGCTGCCATGGTATCGGTGGGGCGACGAGCGAGGCTTCCTGCGGACGCTGTGGTTGGGGCTCCGCTGCTGCTGGCGCGATGGGCTGCGGGCCCCAGCGGCGGCGACGCCTCCGGTCAGCAGCGTCTCCGTGGCCTCGCACACCGACGCCTGGCTCGAGCCGGCCGACGTCCGGCCGATGCCCGCACTGCGTGTCGGCGAGGGCCGACGTGGAGGGAAGTCCTTCTCCAGGGCCATGCTCCCGCCGGAGGCGCCCAGAAGCCGGGGCTCGGGACTCCGGCTTCGGCGAACCCCGTCGGCCGTCGGGTCGGCTCGGAGCGGCCGCACGGCGCTGCGCCTTGTGCAGGAGGAAGTACAGCCTGAGCTCTGCTGGCTTCCTGTCCGGGACAGCACGGCTCCGTTGCACGGGTACGTGGTGCGAGCCTTCACCCTCTCAGAGGGCCCCCGAACCTCGGCTCAGCCGCTCCACGTCTGTGGACACGTTGTCGCGCACGCCGTCACACCGGCGTGCCACCCGCCGCCGACAAGAGCTGCGCGACCAAAGTCTTCGCCACGAACAAGAGGATTCCGCCAGACGTCCAGCTCAGACGCTACAGTCTGTCGCAACGATTGCCGCGAGCCGCGAAACTTGGCGACAGCACACGCGCGCGGACGAGAAGCAACACGGGGCGCGAACCTCGCCGAGCGTCGGTTCTCTGGGAGCGCGCGTGGGCCCCACGGGGTGTCTTATAGCCCGAGCGTCGTCGTCACGTGGGCCCGTGACGCGGCGCGGGGCCCGCGCTCGCTTTCCCAGCTCGCGGTAAATCCGTCTTGGTTGGTTCCCAAAACGCGCGCGAGGAGGAGTTGTCGAGGGAAGGCCCGGGTCGCCGCGGAGAGGGTCGCAGAGAGGGGCAGGTGCGGAAGAGGACGCCACAGGAGCGCCGGACGCCGGCGCGCTTCCGGCCCGAGAGCACCGCGCCCGGAGGGCGGAAGCCGATCCTGCTCGATAGCCCAAACCCTTGGACGTCCTCGAACTCGACACCGCGGTGCCCGGGGCCCCGCAGGATTCGGAGGGACGAGACCTGCGCGTGCCCTTTGAGTGCATGCCGGTGCCAATTGCTCGAGAAAAAGCAGGACAAAAAAAAAAAAATGTGTGTGTGTTTGTATGTAAAAGGGGGGGGGGGGGGGGGGGGCTTCTGGTGGTTCGCGTTCCGATTGGCCCAAGCTAAATTTAAACGCAAGATCTTCAAGCTGGGCGTGATATGGGGTGGTTCTTCATTTTAAATATGCGAGCGGATATGGTGTCAAGAAGAAAGGTGTTGCACGAGGGACGAGGGCGGACCATCGATACTCTTCACACCTTTCAGTGTCATTGGAAATATTGAATGGGTGCAGACACACTCTGAACGCTACGGCAACTTTTTCCTAGGGAGACACGGGCGCGTCATTAAGAGGGCTTCCCTCTGACGACTTCAAGATGAATCAAAATATAAGGAAGTTATTATAGTTTTCTCGACTTACGTCATTAGGCAGAAAACCTCTGCTTGGCGATCTCCACCGTCGCAAAGTCTATTCTGCTTTCGCTGTCCCTAAACCGCAGTGCCTTTACTAAAAAAGCCTCACCTTCAGCAACTGCAGGGGGAGCCCTTTACAATAAGGTATAAAACGTTAAGCTGTCGTGTTCTCCTCTCTACACGTTCAACACATTGTATTTATATCTTGATATTTAGCTCTATACGTCTTAGCTCGCAACACTCCCGCCCTGGACTCTAACAACAATTATCTCCCTCTAAAAATAGTCGTGTACATTTTTTTTTTTTTTAAGAAATATTTATTTTGAACGATCTATACCACTCCAAGGCTGATTTTGTCCGCGTACCCGCATTCCATATATTCCTTTCTGCTGCCTTAACGGCCTTCTTAACTGGTATTTTCTTATCCGCGTTCTTACAACTGCAAATCAATAAAAAAAATCGGGCTAGTTATAAGAATATCACCAGTTGATAGAAGCGCCACAATGTTTGCGTGCAGCGCCGCGTATCCGGAAACATTGTTAAAAAAAAAAAAAAACAGGCGTAGCGTAAAAAAAAAACAAAGAAAAAAAAGACGCCATTTTAATTAGGCGGCGAGAAATTTCGATGCAGAAGGAAGGCGGATCAGCTCATTCATTCGAGCGTCGCCAGGAATTTAACGACTGGCAGTATCTACTAACGTGGCTTGGGCCGAAGACTTGTCCTTTATTCTTTACAAGTGTTTCGATTTTATCAAATGGCAATTTTGAAATTGTTTTATTACATTTTTCTTAAGCAATTATATGCATTACAATTGAAGAAGAAATAAAATGGCCTCGTGAAACCACGAATAATCCAGGTATCCAAGCTGTGGGTTACAGCTGCGACGATTATTAAAATGTGTATAATAAAACGACGCGCATTCACAAATTCCGAGTGATTACGCGTCGTACAAAAGCAATCGGAAACGAAGCTGCTGCTTTTAACGTTTTTGTTCGAGTCCTTTATATGTCAAGTCATCGAAGAATTTAATCACTTTTCTTTTATCGAGAGTCGATGCAATTGCGATGAATTTCCTTTATTTTTTCCGTAATTTCTACACAAGACGAGTTAGAATTCGTGCATTGGGCAGAGACGCAAGATGGCCCACGAAAAACTGAGCGACGTTCCACCGACCCTAATAATAGCAAGTTTTGGATAACGGCTCCGTGATACTCTCTAGCGGCTCTTCTGTCTTGTGGCTAGTTTTTCCTCCTCTGGGCGTTCTTTTCGCAAGTGGTCTGCACCACGAAACTTGGAAGTAAAGCAGCCAAACCACGCTTTACAGGAGGAAGCTGACACAGAAATCGAGAGGAGCACGCGACAAATTGTACGACAGTGTTCGTGGCTTCGCGATTGGTTCTAGAGTTTGCTTACCGGGCGGATAGCCCGACCTAATTGGCTGCCGCCCGATAGAGGCTTGATTGAGATTTACGACCTCCTGTTGTTCGGAATCCCACTCTAAAACAAACAAACAAAAAGAAAAACTCGTGCGCCTATTTTTACGCGCAGCACAATGCGACGGAGGCAGCCCTGAAGGTGGCGAGAACAGAAAAACCGTTTTGAGCGAAACATTATTTATGTGACGTGACACTGAGCTTGATGCCTCCTGTAGGTCATCGTGGTTGGCTTATCGAGTGCTCTCTGGGAAATCAAATGGCACGGGAGTGATTTTCGAGTGTTTTCGGTGAGTATTGGAGAAATGAACGACCGAAAGCGGTCGCTGCGGTCGGCCTTCCATAATTGGCTGACAACCTCACAGAAGAGCAATGTCAGCAGGGGCGGATCCACAACTCCGTTTTTTGTTTTGTTTTTTTTTTTTTTTTGGGGGGGGGGGGGGCGGAACATTTGTAAGGATACTATTCTCCCATTCCTTCTTGTGGACAGAGAGGGTCCACCCATGGCAAACTGCCCCCCAAGAAGGGGGAAGGGGGGAGGGGGGTTGACTTTGTTGGGGGGGGGGGGGGTGGCCGTTTCCGTCGCCCCCTCCCCCCTTGGATCCGCCCCTGAATGTCAAACTGCCATCTCTGACGGTGTTACGAACACCATGACTCCGAGCTTCCACCATGCTTTCTACGCAGATCATCGAAACCGTTCTTGGTATAGTTGATGGTCGAGGGAACCACCCAAATATCCCATCGCCAATAACTAAAAGTGGTGGGGACTACGCATGCTACCTGGTGATTGAAAAGTGATTGGAGTTCAACTCCTACTTTTCCCCCAAATTCGAGTTCAATAGAGCAAGCAGCCAGACTGTATGTCAGGCACTGAATATTTTTCTGTCCAGGCAAACATTCGAAAGCAATATATTTTTCAAACCGCTGAAAGGTGCCACGCGAAAGACGCCTTAAAAGAATAGAACTTCGTCCGTTTATATTTTGCTTGTTTCCTTTATTAGTACAGTAAAAACGCGCGATTGAACATGCACGCCGAGTATAATTTTTTTTTAAGTAGGCTAAAGGTGCTGTTTTGCACCACGAACTATAAAGAAAACATAAATTGATTGAAAAGTGGAATTCGCGGTCGTGAAGTACTTGGCGACTCATTTGTCGTGCGTGCGTGCGTGCGTGCGTGCGTGCGTGCGTGCGTGCGTGCGTGCGTGCGTGCCTGTTTTACTGGTAGATGTGTTGACTCCTTTTTTTTTTTTTAACGTCACAATGCATATTGTGTAGTGTGCTTTAGAAATATGTTTCTCTTGCTTTCGGCCCCGGCTTCTCTAGAAATGTCAAGACAGAAAAAATTATATGACCGAAAATTAGATAGGTAAAAAAACTTGTGAAGATGCGAAAAGACGTATGTGTGATTGTGCTACAGCGCCTGAACAAAGTTACAAGGTTCGAAAGACCGCAACTCTGACATTTATCGTCTGTCTTATTTCGAAACGGGAAAAAAGGAACGCAACGTCAGGTGCGTGGCAGATACGTAAGCCCTAGCAAAAAGCTATTAAACTTAAGTATACTCGTTTCATAAAAGTACACTTTAAGTAAATGTTGGAAAATGTTTGTATATCCGACGTTTACTTTTAATTCACTTTTAGTGTAGTACTTCATATTCCAGCAGTGCAATCCCCACATCGACCCAGTTCACAAACTAAGGGGTACATACTAAAA